GCCCCCGGGGCGGTGCTGGCGTCCCGCCAGCGCGCCGCCCAGCCCAGGACGGGAGCATGAGCCTGGAGCAGTTCGGGGAGTTCCTGCAGAGGAGGGCAGCCCTGCCTCCCTCGCCTCCCTCCTGCCCTCTCCCTCCCTCCCTCCTGCCCCCTTGCTCGCTCCTCCTCTCGCCTCCTCTCCAGGATGCGCCGGGCTCTTTCCTCCTCTCTCCTCCTCTCTCCTTGTTCCTCCTTTTCTCCCTGCGATCCCAGGACCATCTGAAGCAACCCTACCCTCCTGCTGCTTCCTCTCCCTCCTCCTCCCCCCCCACTCCCCTTTCCTCATTCCTCCCTTCTCTTCCCTCCTCCCTCCTCCCTCCTCCTCCCCTCTCAGCATGGGCGTGGACGTGAGCAAGTTCGGGAGAGGGCAGTCGAAGCAGCTGGAGTCCTTGTTTCAGGACTTGGCGACCGAAAGCGCGGAGGCGAAGGCGGAGAAGGAGGTGGATGGCGGTGATGATGCGGTTGATGATGAGGATGGGGGGGCGGGGACTGTCATTTTTGGTGTTATGTTTCAGGATGCCTTGGATGGTGTTCATATATATATATATACTTATCTCTCTATATATATGGAAATGGTGGTCATGATGCTGCTGACGATGACGATGATGAGGATGATGCATACTGATAATGCGGAGTCTGGCGATAATGGGGAAGCGGGAGAGGAGTATACATAGATGGAGAGGAGTGGATGAATATGATGATTCGCAGCATGAGTAGCATGACGAGGATTCGGGGGATGTAGCTGAGGGTGACGAGAGTGAGGATAGGCAGTTGATTATTCTGATGACGAGTACAATGCCGAGGACACTGACGGGGATTCTGCGTATGATGATGCTGGTCATGATTCCGTTCGTGATCATGATGATGAGAAGGAGGGTGAGGGTGCACAGGATGAGCATGTGGATGTAGAGGATCATGATGAGGATAAGGAAAAACACGAGCGGAGGGAGGGGGGAGCAGGGGAGGAGGAGCAGTGTCAACCCAAGACGCATCAACGATGTTGCAATAAACCCTCCCTCCGCGTTCCCTTTTCACAGGTGCTAGCAAGAATGTATTTGCATTCCGGGAAAGGCCCAATGGAAGACAACCGCCTGAGAACCGTAACACGTGCCACAACACCATTCTTGGGAGTTCGACGCCGCGAATCAACGTTATTGTTGCGTCTTGGCGATCATGAGTCGTGTGAGAACACATTTCCTGGGAGTTCAATACCGCGAGTCAATGCTACTGTTGCATCCTGACAAACCCAGACCGTACCAGAACACCATCTTCCACCCCCCTAGTCTTTGACACAGCCGCAACTTGTTCAAACAAATGTGCACGCCGCTTAAGCGAATGCAACATGTTGATGAACATATGCCGGCGTGCATTCTTAAAGCTCTTGCGAACTTTGAAGACGAATGTCCGCTGCGCTTCGGCGAAAACCACACTTTGGACACCACCCGCCCTCTATCCGTGAAGCTCTCGCGAACTGTTAAGATGAATGTGCCTGGCGCTAACTTGAGAACCACATTTGAAAGCCACCCACCCTCCGTCCGTGAAGCTCTTGCAAACTTGGAAGACGAATGTGCGCGGCGCTATGGCGAGAGCTATACTTTGAGAACCACCCGCCCTCCCTCCGTGAAGATGTTGCAAGGTTTTTTGTTTCAAAAAAAAAAAACGAATGTTCGCGCCGCTAAGGCGAGATCACACACACACACAGTGGGACAAAAACACACACAGTGTGTTTTTTTCCCCACAGTGTGTGTGTTTTCCCACAGTGTGTGTTTTGTATTTTTTCCCCACTGTGTGTGTGTTTTCCCACATGTTGTGTGTGTTTTTTTTTGTGTGTGTGTGTGTGTGTGTTTTTGTTCCCACATTTGTTAAGTGGCCCGTCCTCCCTGTGAAGACGTTGCAGGTTGCAAAAGCTTCAAGGTCCTACGTGGTGAAGCAGCCTCATGCGAAACGCCCGGCTCGCCCCACCGACACATTTCCGGGTACGGCAGGGGGGAGTATATAAGGAACAGGGATGGAGGAAGAGGAGGGTGGAGTATTAGTTTGAGCTCGAGCAGGAGATGATTCCTCCTCGTCCACCTTCCTTTGCTCCAACTCTAACTCGTCTTCTCCTCCGTCCTCTTCCTCCTCCTCCTCCTCGATGTCGCCTTGTTCTCAGCATGCCTAGATTGCGACAAGCACGATGAGTGCTACGAATAAGCAGGAACGACGACGACGAGGAGGGAGGGAGGACGACAACGGAGGAAGGAGACAAGGCAGGCTTCCTGCGGTGCTCGCAGGCTCGTTGTGGCGCTCGCAGGCTTCCAACGCCGCGCGGCGATCCCAAGCACATTGTGGTGTCCACGGGGCACGCTTCGGTGCTCGCGGGCCGTAGGGGTGCTCGCGGGCGCACTGCAGTGTACACCGGCTTTGTGCACGGAGCGCGCGTGCGTGCGCGTGTGTGTGTGTGTGTGTGTTGTTTGTGTGTGTGTGTGTGTTTGTGTGTGTGTGCGTGTGGTTGTGCTTGTGTGAGGCGAGTGGGTGGTGGTGTGTGTAAGCCTTCAGTGTGCCTGGACGTGTGCTGCCCTGAGCGTGTGTGTGTGTGATTGTGTGTGAATGTGTGTATGTATTTGTGTGTTGTGTATTTGTGTGTATGTGTGTTTGTCTGCGTGCGCGTGCTGCGTCGGTGTACGCGTGTACGCGCCTGTATGCGCGTACTGTCATATTCACGATGTTGTTTCCCTACTGGTCCTTGCCGCAGCCCAACCAGACGTTACATACGGTGACCCGCGCACCCCCGGGTAATGACCGTTGCGCGCGGTTGTAGAAGAACGATTTCATACCAAACGATCAAACACGTCCACAGGCTCTCTCATCTTCTCCCTCTTTGTTATCTCTCTCGCTCGTTGCTCTTGCCGCTGCCTCTGTCTCGTTTGCTCCACCTTTGCTCTCCCCGCCCGTTGCGGCGCCGTGGGCAAGGCGGAGCATGGCTTCGTTTCCTGGAGGGCTCCCCGCCGTCCGCGCCCGCGCCGGGTGTCGGCCCCGACCTCCACAGGATGTCTCCAGGAGCAAGTGCTACCTGCGGCTGAACGGCCACAGGCTCGAGAGGCGGGCCCCCCCTTCCCTGGGAGCGAGGAGGGAGGAGGAGCGAGGGGGAGAGCATGAGGCTGGAGGGGGGCGCCGTCCCCGCATCCCTGCCGGTCGCGAGCCAGTCGTCTCGGACACACATCCCTTGGGAGGCTGCCCCGCCCGCAGCCCGCAGGGAGGCCCCGAGCGGGTCACGCTTTGCCCTGGGGGGGCGAGCGCGAGGAGAGGGGAGAGCGAGGCAGGGCGAGGGAGGGGCGAGGAGGAGGAAGGAGGAGGAGGAGGAGGAGGAGGAGGAGGGGAGGAGGAGGTGCTGAAGGAGGATGGAGTGAGAAGGCAGGGGGGATGAGGAGAGGAACGAGGAGGAGGTGTACAGTCGGGGCCCTGAAGAAGGAAGCCTTTTCGTTGGGGAGGGGCTCGGTGTTCCTTAGTTGTTGTTGTTGCAGTTCGCCTTTGGTTTTGCTTAGGGTTTCGATGGGACATCGAAGTTGAACTTGTGGGAAAAAGGGGCCTCGTTCCTAATTTAGGGTTCCTTAGGTCAACGCCTCGACTGTAGGAGGGGGGCGGAGCGAGCAAACGAGCGTGGAAGGGATGAATACGGACGGGTTGGTGGGAGCATGATTCCTAACACTGTTGATGATGAGGGGGAGAAGGAGGCCGAGGAGGAGGGGCAGGTGGTGGGGGAGGAGGAGGGGGGACATGTTGATAGGACGGACTTCGGAGGAGAAGGAAGACGAGGACGAGGGGAAGGGAATGCGCCGAACGGAGTCACTGGGGAACGTCAGGTCACCCGTCGCCGTTTGGATCAAGCCTATGCGTGAAGACGTCCCGCCAGCGTGTCGGGACCAGACACGTCGGCCAGCTAGGAAGTTGTTACGCAGCACCTTGCAGTTGTGCATAATAGTGGGGGCGGGTGCGGAGTGGGTCGTGGGCGAGTCGCGGGTGGGTCGCGGGGTTGGTCGCGGGTGAGTTGCGGGCGGGTCGCGGGTGGGCCGCCAGTGGGTCTCCAGTGGGTCGCGCGTAAGTCGCGGGGCGATCGCGGGTGGGTCGAGAGTGGGTCGCGGGTGGGTCGCGGGTGGGTCGTGGGCCGGGTCGTTGGTGGGGCGCAGGTGGGTCGCGGGGTGGGTCGCTGGGTGGGTCGCGGGGTGGGTCGCGGGTGGGTCGCGGGTGGGTCGCGGGTGGGTCGCGGGTGGGTCGCGGGTGGGTCGCGGGCGGGTCGCGGGACAGGTCGCGGGCGGGACGACGACAACACACAACAAACAAGAACCAATACATAACAACAGCAGCAGCAACCGCAACAACAACAGTCATTTTAAGGCTGTTCGCTTTTACCTGTTCCCGTGCGATTCAACACGTATATCCCGAACCCTCGATACCCGCCCTCTTCGTCCTCGATCGTACCCCCTTAAGGGTATATCTTTCTTACCTGCAACGTGTATTTCGCGCAGCCCCTGACGCAGGGGAAGAGAGGACGGATGGAAGGAAGGACATGGGGGAGGGAGGAGGATGGAGCACGGGCTAGGAGCAGAAAGCACGCGGCAGAACCAGACGGGCAGATCGGGCGGGTAGACTCTGCCAGGCGGGTCGGGAAGGAGGGCCCAGGCTGCCAGGTCGAGCGGGCGGGTTGCTGAAGCTTGCGTCCTGCATGAACCGAAAGGAAGTCTCGAGCGACAGCTCGATTTCCAAATCAATCGTGAGGAAATCCACAGCGAGAGCGTGACTCCTGAATGTCGAGGGCGCGGCGTCTGAATACATTGGGAGGAAGTCCCACGCGAGAGCGCGATCCCTGAATAAATAGTAAGGAAGTCCCGCGCGAGAGCGCGATTCGGAAATACATTGTGAGGAAGTATCAGGCGGGAGCCGTTGTTGCTGTAAACTGGGGGCCAAAGACACAGTTTGAGGAGGAATACTTTTCCTGATAAATAAGAGGGTGCGAGCGCCGGGAGGGGCACTTCAATTGAAACAAACAATGTGCACCGGAGGGGGTATCAACAATATTTAGTTTTCAGTAGTGGGAGTTCAACCACAACAACAACCCCAACAACCACAACAACCACAACATCAACACTGATCTTAACAACCACAACACCAATACCACCAACAACAATAAGAGTATCAATGACAACAGCAGCACACACACACCAACAACAATAATAACACCAACAACAACACCAACGCCAGCAACACCATGAGCAGGGGAGGCACGTCCGTGAATCTTTGAATTCTAGATCAACATTCTGTTGGCGGAAGACACGAGCTAGCATATGCTACAATATGTAACATTGATTTGCGATCGGTTTTGTATCGCGTGCAGTTTGGCGGGGGCTTGGGAACTCCGGATCAATTGAGATCCAGGTGCTCGTCTACACGTATCTCAGATTAGGTTTTCAAAACAAGTTCATCGTGTGTTAGGGAGCCCTTGCACATTTACGCAACCAAAAGAAACCATTGTCGCCTTCTGCTTGCACCAGTTATGCTTTGAATTGAATTGCCATGCCATTTGACTTGCTCGGATGGAGTCCTGGCTTCGCGCGTTCCTTATATGTATATATATATATATACATTGTCCTGTTGAATAGATTTGTGTCGTGTATCTTATTGCTCCGTGTTTAGACCATCGCTTCCATGTGATGATGATTTTTGCCAGCATTTTTGGCGACCACACCTTGGTCGATGGGGTTTGTTAATTCTCAGGGCCTTATCTTTGCCTGGTAGAAGGTGCATAGAGAGGAGATTTACGTACGCTTCTGATGAAAGTGCAGACTAGGGGGGACCTTGCATAATCGTGTCTCACTTGCAGCGTAAGCGCAATGTGTTGACTCGAATTGCATTCGCTTGCAGGGAAAACCCTGCCATATTCTCAGGAGCTGCATGCGGAAAAGGACACCGAGCAAGCAATGATGTCCGTTTTGCGTGTGTGTGTGTGTATGTGTGTGTGCTCGCGGTGAGGCCTCATCTGTTTTTGTGTGTGTGGGGCCTGCACAGGCCGAGGCCGCAACCCCCTCTCCGCCTCCCACCCTGCTCTTTGCTCCCCCTCCTCCTCTCCCTCTTTTGAAGGGGCCCTGGGACACACACACACACACACACATTCACACACACACACACACATGCACACAAATACTAGGATTCCCCATATTTTCACATGTTTTCTGGGTCTTTGTCTTCCCCACCACTTCCCATATTTTCCATATTTTCCAGGGAATCGACGATTAATTTGTGTCTGTGTGTTTTTTCCCTCCTGATTTTTGTCCTCCCCTCCCGCTCCAGGCTGCTCCGCCTCAGCTGCGCGTGCTCGCGCCGTCCTCGTGCTCCTCGCCCCCCGGGGGGCCCCGCGCCCCTCGCCGTCGTTCCCCCTCGTCCTCAGACTTCCCTGCCCCGTCCTTGCAGGGCCCACGCCGATTCGATCGTTCCAGCTCGATGCCGATTTCGGCCGGCGCGATCCGATTCGACTCCGCCAGTCCGACGATGCGATTCGGCTCGGTGTTTGCATGGCGCTGTTGTGCATCCTGGCGCAGCGACTGGATTCGACTTCGATTTCGTGTCGATGCAGCCCGATCCGATGCACATTTCGATTTGATCTTATTCACTTATTCGATGATGACTGAGCGTGCCCTGCCCACCCCCTCTCCCCCTTACCGCCCCACCCTCTGGTCCTGCCCCTTGCCCCCTGCCTCCCTCCCGCCCCTTTCCTGTCTCTGTCCTGCCGCTGCCGCTTCTCGCCTGTGGTCCGCACCTCCCCATCTTTTCTCCTCCCCTTCCTGCCCCATTTCCTGTTGTTGCTCCTGTAGATTCTCCTGCTTTCCTCCTCGGGGTAGGCTCCTCCTGCCTTCTCCCCCGTGTATAGGTTTCCCCCCCGCTTTTTCTACTCATCTCCTCGTCCTCCTGTTGGTCCTCATTCCTCTCGTTCTCTTCCTCATTCTCGTCACCCTCCCCGTCCTCGCTCCCCTCCCTCACGTCCTCCTGTTCGTTCCGTCCGTGATCCTGACCCTCGCCCTCCTGTTCTTCGTCCCCGTCTTCGTCGCTTTCAGAAAAGCGAGAGAGAGAGAGAGAGAGCTTGTCCTCGGAATCGTCCTCGTCCCGCTTCCTCCAACGAGAGGCGGGTAGAACTTGTCCGCATCAACCTCAACACGACGGGGTCTGATGGCATCGACCGCACCCTCAAGGTCGGCATGGAGGTCATGGACGACGGCCGCACAAGAATGCGCAACCAGATACGTGGTCGGCCGGCCACGCTGTGGGCCAAAAGGGGCCCTGTAGCAGCCAGACAAGCCACAAGCAGCCCTCCCCCCACCCACTCAAACACACACAATCACACACACAAACACACGCAACCACGCAGCACACATAAGCATACACACACGCACGTACACATACGCGCACACACACACACACACGCAAACGCTCACGCGCACGCGCACGCACAACCACACGCAAACGCACACACGCACACGCACTCACACACAACTGCACAGAGCACACACACAAACGCTTACACAATCAATGAATAACGCGCATGCGCACAAGCACGCGCACACGCACACGTATATGCACAACCACACGCAAACGCACACATGCACGCACATGCACACGCACATGCACAGACAGGCGCACGCACACTTACACTTACACTTACACGCACACGCACACGCACACGTACACACAACATACAAGTACACACAAGCACACACAAACACACACAAACACACAAGCACACAGACACGCACACGAGCACACACAGACACACACACACATACACACACACGCACGCACGCACGTACACACACACACACGCAGGCGCATACGCACACGCTCACGCTCACGCTCACGACACGCGCACACACACACACACACGCACCCACACACACACACACACACGCACACACATACACAAACACACACACACGCACACACACGCGCGGACACGCACACACACACACACATTCACACACACACACACGCACACATGCGTACACACGCATCCACACATACACACGCACACGCTCACGCACACACGCACACGCTCACGCACACCGGACAACACCAGCAGCCCCAGGAATCCTAAGGAATCCTTAGGAATTCTTAAGAATTTTTAGGAATCCATTCCCAGAGCTCCATTCCCAGGCCACATTTTGAATGCCCGGAGCCAGCCGTAGGCCACTTCGTGCTCTTCGTGTTCCCAGAGCAGCATTCCCAGGACACATTTCGAATGCCCGGAGCCAACCGTAGGCCACTTCGTGTTCTTCGTGCTCCCAGAACACCATTCCCAGGCCACATTTTGAATGCCCGGAGCCAACTGTAGGCCACTTCGTGTTCTTCGTGTTCCCAGAACATCATTCCACATTTTGAAGAATTCCCAGAGCCAGCCGTAGGCCACTTCGTGTTGTTCCCAGAACACCATTCCCAGGCCACAGTTTGAATGCCCGGAGCCAACCGTAGGCCACTTCGTGTTCTCCCAGAACACCATTATTGTATCATATTTTGATTGCCCGGAGCCAACTGTGAGGCTGAGGCTGAGGCAGGCTGAGGCTGAGGCAGGCTGAGACTCAGGCTGAGGCAGGCTGAGGCTGAGGCTGAGGCTGAGGCTGATGCAGGCTGAGGCTGAGAGGCTGACGCTGTGGCTGAGGCTGAGGCCGAGGCAGGCTGAGGCTGAGGCTGAGGCAAGCCAAGGCAGGCTGAGGCTGAGGCTGAAGCTGAGGCAGGCTGAGGCTGAGGCTGAGGCTGAGGCAAGCTGCGGCTGAGGCAGGCTGAGGCTGAGGCTGATGCAGGCTGAAGCTGAGGCAGGCTGAGGCTGAGGCTGAGGCAGGCTGAGGCTGAGGCTGAGGCCGAGGCAGACTGAGGCTGAGGCTGAGGCTGAGGCAGGCTGAGGCTGAGGCTGAGGCTGTGGCTGAGGCTGAGGCAAGCTGCGGCTGAGGCTGAGGCTGAGGCTGAGGCAGGCTGAGGCTGAGGCTGAGGCTTTGGCTGAGGCTGAGAGGCTGACGCTGAGGTTGAGGCAGGCTGAGGCTGAGGCTGAGGCCGAGGCAGGCTGAGGCTGAGGCTGAGGCTGAAGCTGAGGCAGGCTGAGGCTGAGGCTGAAGCTGAGGCAGGCTAAGGCTGAGGCTGAGGTTGTGGCTGAGGCTGAGGCAAGTTGCGGCTGAGGCAGGCTGAGGCTGAGGCTGATGCAGGCTGAGGCTGAGGCAGGTTGAGGCTGAGGCTGAGGCTGGCTGAGGCTGAGGCTGAGGCCGAGGCAGGCTGAGGCTGAGGCCGAGACAAGCCGAGGCAGGCTGAGGCTGAGGCTGAAGCTGAGGCAGGCTGAGGCTGAGGCTGTGGCTGTGGCTGAGTCTGAGGCAAGCTGCGGTTGAGGCAGGCTGAGGCTGAGGCTGATGCAGGCTGAGGCTGAGGCAGGCTGAGGCTGAGGCTGAGGCTGAGGCTGAGGCCGAGGCAGGCTGAGGCTGAGGCCGAGGCAAGCCGAGGCAGGCTGAGGCTGCGACTGCGAGAACAGCAGAATTATACATCTGGATTCTCACCTGAATCTTAAGGGGGATGCTTCCAGATATGCTTATGTACACATCGCTGTTAGGTTGCTTTGCCGGGATAATATTGTACCCTACTTTAGTTTACTCCCCCAAACAGTGCTTGCAGCTTGCAGTAAGGGTTTCTTATTCATTTCCCAAACAGTGCTTGCACTTAGGGGTTCTTCCTTGTCTTAACCATCTGGGGACCAGTCCTGGCTTTTCTGGGCGGTGCCGCCCGCCGCCGCCCCGTCGCCGCCTCGTCGCCGCCCGTCGCCTGGTCCCCAGTCCCGGCTTTTCCGGGCGGTGCCGCTCGTCGCCGCCCCGTCGCCGCCCTGTCGCCGCCCATATAGAGTCTCTTCTCTTAAAAGAAGTTAGATTCGACCCCCACCATTCGCCCGGGGTTTTCCACTCGGCCTCGCGTGTTGCAAATTACATGTGGTTCCGTCCCATCGTCCATCCTACACATGAGTTCGTTCCATCCCAGGCGAGCCGATATCCGCCCCCCCCATCCCCTGCAAAGAGACATATGTGCGCACGCTCGCTTATCAAAAGTCATGTGTCTTCAAGGGTCCCTGGCAAAAAATGGGACGAAGTGCGCACGCGCGCGTCGTCGCGCGCATACCAGAATCCACGATGAATCGTAAGGATTTCAAAATCGAGTGCCCAAAGTTTTTTTGAAACACGCACAGGGTTTCGCAACACGGATGTTCAAAAATAGATTGCGCGCGCGCTCTCGCTAATTGTTAAGGAAACCATAGGTTTTCAACATTCAAATAAAATTATGCCAAAATGGCTTCGCGCGCGCATCTGTCGAAATCGTTCGAACGCCCTTGCGCGCGTACTGTCGCGTGACTCCGTTGCCAAAAATAAGACGAAGTGCCCACGCGCACGTCGTCGCGCGCGCATGCGAAATCCGTCAACAACTTTCGGTTTCGTAGCGATGTCAAAAACCGTGTGCCAGAACAACACAACAATTTAACACATGGCTCCGCAACATCAAAAAAACATGCGCTCGCGCTCTTGCGACTTCTTGAGGAAAACATTGGTTTGTCAACATGGTCATGAAATTCTGCTAAATGGGCCTCTCGCGCCGCATGCCGAAATCATTCGCACGCCCTTGCGCGCGTTCTGGGGGGGCAGGATCCGTGCCAAATAATACCATGCGGGCCACTCTCGCGCGCCGGCCGCGCGCTCATGTCGAAAAAGAGTTCCAAAACCTTCATCACCGACGCGAGGACGCCGTCATCGTCGTCGGCGTGATTGGCATCGGCGCCGTCAGTGGCCGCGCCGTCGTCGTTGTCAACATCGCCACCAGCATCGCTACTATCATCACTTTGCCCGCCCCACTTCCATAGTCGACGTTGCCATGATACTGCGCTCGCCCAAGTCGCCGTCTCGCACTGAAGAGCCCGCTAGGATGCGCCCACAGGTCAACGCCACCGCGGTCGCGTCGGTCTCGCCAAAGGCGTTGGCTGCTGCGTGCACGTGCTTGGGTTGGTGTGGCAGCAGAGATGCACCAACCAATGCCGAACACTCATCGCAATCGCCGCCGCATGGGTTTTGCAAGCGGTTGCGGGTGGGTGGGTGGGACGTTTGCAAGAACGAGGAATGTGTCAACCCGAATGTAAAAATTCAATTGCAGTGCGCCACAGGGAATGTGCCACATAGAATGCAGTGCGCGTTTTGCACAGCACATGCTGCATTGCACACGATGCACCATGTAGATTGCACCGCGCAGACTACACGAACCTATTTTTTGGGGTCCGCGCTGGCTAACATGTATCTGTTTCTTGTCGCTGCCAGGTCTCCCGATTTGTTGTTGTGCCCTCAGAGTGGCCAGCCGCAGCCACGGAACCCAGCTACTCGCGGTCACGGTGGTGCAGGGACAGACGGCGAGGGAGGCCGTGGTGGGGATGTTCGCCACCAAGTTCGGCGTGCCGAGCGAGGAGACCATATTTTAAGCGCCTTGAGCACATCAAGGGGAATTAGGTTGGTGATGATGATGATGATGATGATGATGATGATGATGGTGAGCGTGATGATGATATTGCCGCTGCTGCAGATGATGATGGTGATGCTGATGATGATGCTGATGTTGGTGATGATGATGGTGATGCTGATGATGATGAAGATCGTGATTATGATGCCGATGAGGAGGAGGAGGAGGAGGTGGAGGATCGAGGGTCGATGGATGAAATTTGATCCTTCCTGGGCCTCCTGAAGCGCTTTCGTCGCCGTGGTTGGACTCCCTTCGGAATTCTGACCAGAGCGCATCCTGGGACAGGCCAAGGGGTCGATGTCCAACCTCCTCCCTAGACCGTGGTCTTGAACACAAGCCAGGCGGAGTTTTTCATATGTCCCTTGGCCTTTGGAGGCAGCCGTCGGGCTCTCCAGGCTGATCAAGAGCGATCCTGGGCACCATCAACAAACTTGTCTTTGGGAAGGATGCCGCACGCATGTGAACATGCTTCGAGTAGGATGTCGACTGCATCATTGATTCAGTCGCTTCGCTCACTCCGCCGGTCCATGTTGCATGATCGCTACTGCTTCGCTGTGGGCCCAGGGCCATTGTGGCGCCACCGAGGAGGAGGAGGACGATGAGGATGGGGAAGGGGAGGGGAGGAGGAGGAGAGGATGAAAAGGAGAGGAGGAGGATGAACATAAGTAGGAGGAGGAGGAGGAGGAGGAGGAGGAGGAGGAGGAGGAACGGGAAGGGGCGGAGGAGGAAGCCTCTTGTTGGCATCTTGTCTTGCTCTTGGGGCCAAACAGGGTCGTCGTCAAGATGCTTCTTTGGGCGTCTCTTGGGGTCTTTTGAGAAGCCGTTCGGGGGCGCAGGGGAGGCATTTTTGAACTTCTGGGGCCTCTTTTGGGCCTCCTGGGGGCCTCCTGGTGCCTCTTGGGGGCCTCTTGGCGGCATCTTGGTGCCTCTTGGGGGCCTCTTGGGGGCCTCTCGGAGCCTCTTGGAGCCCTCTTGGGGCGGAAGAGTTTTCGGTTCGTGGTCCCCCTCTTAGGCCCCTCTTCGGGCCGTCTTGGGCCGTCTTGGGCGCCTCTTGGGCCGTCTCGGGGCCCTCTTGGGCCCTCTTGGGGCCCCCTTGGAAGCCTCTTGACCCGTCTTGGGGCGCTCTTGGGGGCCTTTTGGGCCGTCTTGGAGCATCGGATGGCCGAATAGGCGACAAGGCCAAAATCCTTCAAAAACAATTTTAAAATTTATGATTTTGGCCTCTCGGGCCCTCTTGTGAGGCCTCTTGGAGGCCACTTGGAGGCCTCCTGGGCCGTCTTGGGGTCATCATCGGCGTCTTGGAGCGCTCTTTGGGCGTCTCGGGGGCCTCTTGGGCAGTCTTGGGGACCTCTTGGGTCAGGAGGGGGGGGTAGTCGATTGCGCCCCTCCCCTCGGAGGCCACGATCCTCGTGAGGGGTGTCGAAACATTGCCTGGTCTAGCATCTCTGATCCGAGTGTCCCGGGGGTGTCCTTGGGGTGTCCCGGGGGTGTCCCGGGGTATTTTTCGTCCGAGGACCCCCAGGGGCGGCCCCCCGCGTGCGAACTAGAAGATTGCTAATCAGTTACCGGACTGCATCATTGATTTATTGTTTGCTCGTCGAGTCTACGAACCATGCGTAGGCTGCTCCGTAGATAGACTGGGCATGTTATTACACTAGAGAAAAGCCCAATCAGTAGATGGTTTGAAATTCGGGATGTGGATATTGAGATCGATTATGATATCGATAGTGAGACCGAAAATGAGATCGATCGTAATGACGATATGATAAGGTCGATCGTAAGACCGACCGTGAAGTCGATTTAGCGAAATCGATAGTGAGATCGATCGTGAGATCGCTCGTGCGATCTACAGTGGGATCGATTGTGAGTTCAATAGAGAGGTGTGTAGTGAGATCGATGGTGAGACCGATCGATAAGGAGATCGACCAAGAACCCGGGAACCTGGTAACCCGTGAACTTCGCCGCCCACCGAAGTCGGTCCGGAACCAGCAGCCGAGATTCCGGCAACCTGGCCGCCTACGGAAATCGGCCCGGCATTTTCGCCAGATTTTTCAATATCCAGAGCATTGATTCTTCTTATAGGTCCGACGACACACAGTTTGAGGGAAAACCAATTCTTGACGCTTCGCGTATCCCCACCAGTGGCTGCGCTTGAGCTTCGGCTGGCCAATTCACTTGCACACAATTCGCCTCGTGGAGGCTTCGGCCCACCTGGCTCTGGCCACCCTGGTACTTCGCAGTCCTTAGGGTGCTCACCCTTCGCATCAATTCAGCAGCTTGCAGACCCTGGCAGTCGGCCCCCCTGACAGTCGGCCCCTCTGCACCTCGCTGCATGCGTGCAACCCCTGGCAGTGCAGCGACCCTGGCAGCCGCAGCCAGCACCCCTCCACTCGCCGGCCTGCCCGCCGAGGTGCCGCGTGAGGCTCCGGCCCATCGGCTTTAGGTTAATTCGTCTTTGCGCGGCCCGCTATGACTCGACACGCCGCTGGCGCTCTTGCCTGCGGTCGCTGACTAAAAAGTATCCCCACCAGCCTCTCGGCTGTTGGCCGACCGTGTTGCTCTTTTCCATGGTCCCTGGCGGCAGCGCCCACGGCATCTTCTTGCTACCTCGACCCGGATTTAAGGTGTGGGCTTTGTTGCGCCAGCAGCCCGCAGCCGCCGGTTCCAGCTCGAGAGTGCGTGTGGCTACATGACCGGGTGGTGCGGGAGTTTACGGTGTCGAGTACCTCCACCGTGTCCCTGGCTACTTGCACGTCCCTGGGTAATCTCGCGGACGGACTTCGCAGGATCAGTACTTCCCAGAGGGAACCGGGTGTGCGACTTTGGTGGCGCCACTCAGTGTACCAGTTTAGGCCTTTCGGCATGCTTGGCAGTCGTCGCAGATACTCGCTCGCCGCCCCCCTGGCCCCATCCTGGGTTGCAGCCCGCGCCATTTTGGCCGCGCCCCAGCCTCGGTTGGCCAATTTGCGCGTTGCCCTGGCTCAGCCCCCGGCAGCCGCAGGCTGCACCCCCACACGCCGGCCCTGCCCGCCGTGGTGATGCCTGAGGCCCCGCCAGCTTGAGGTAATTCGTCTTTGCGCGGCCCGTTCTGACTCGACTCGCAGTTTGCGCTTTCGCTTGCGGCTGCTAACTAAAAAATCCCCACCAGCTGCGTTACCTGGCACCGCAGTTTTGATCGACGTGACTCTGATGCTGATTTGTGATGCCTCCTGCGTCATTCTGGCTGCGTTGAGCCCACTTCCGCTCTGAGCCGAGCGCCGCTCGCTTCGCTGTTTTCCCCTTTGCTTCGGCGCGGCCAGCCTTAGCTTGCACGGCGTTCGATTCGTCTTCGCGCGCCCGCGTACCGAAAAGTATCCCGACCAGCCCATCCATGCAGGTTCGGAGGTTTTCTTGATGCCTCTTGGAAGCTATATTG